GATTAAATACATCTAATCACATGTGATTATATGAATCTAATCACATATGATTTATGTGGACACAATTCATTTTCGCTTTGTCGATTCAATAGTTGTTCTCATGTATTTTATCACATGTGATTATATGTTTAATCGCATGTGATTAAGTACATGAGCACAACTATTGAACCGAGAAGGCGAAAATGAATCTTGTCCACCTCTAATCATATATGATTTATATGGAGAATATTCGTTTTCACATTCTCGTTCAATAGTTGTTCTTGTACATTTAGTCACATATAATTTCTGTACACAAGATTCATTTTCACATTTTCAATTCAACATTTTTTGTTTTTCCACATTAATCATATGTGATTAAATACATACAATCACATATGATTAAATACATGAGAAAAAATATTGAATCAAAAATGTGAAAACGAATACTATCAATATAAATGATATGTGATTTGATACATATAATCACATGTGATTAAGTACATGAGTACTACTATTGAATTGAGAAAAAAATAATGAAATTTATCCAAATAAATAATATGTGATTAGGTACATATAATCACATGTGATTATATGTATTTAATCACATATGATTTATGAATACTTGGTCTCGTGTATTTAATCACATATTATTTATGTGAAAAAGATTTGTTTTCACGTTCTTGATTCAAAAAATCATATGTGATGAAATATATATATATATATATATATATATATATATAGTAACATGTAATTATATACACGAGAATAACTATTGAATCAATAACATTAAAACAAATATGTGTCCACGTTAATCATATGTAATTAAATACTTATAATCACATATGATTAAATATATGAGAAAAATTATTGAAACGAAAACTCAAAAATGAATATTGTTCATATAAATCATATGTGATTGGATACATATAATCACATGTGATTATATGTATCTAATCACATATGATTATATGATTAAAGTTGGCAAAAAAATAATTATTGAATCGAGAACGCGATAATGACATATGTGATTAAATATATCTAATCATATTTAATCACATATTATTATATGTATCTAATCACATATGATTTATGTGGATAAATTTTTTGTCCATTTTATTCGTATTTGATTAAATACATCTAATCACTTGTGATTAAATACACGAGAACAACTACTGAATCAAGAACGCGAAAAAGAATCTTGTACATATAAATCACATGTGATTAAATACATATAATCACATGTGACTAAATACACATGTGCTTATATGTATCTAATCACATATGATTTATGTAGACATGATTTATTTTTGTATTCTTAATTCAATAGTTGTTCTTTTACCCCATTAATCATATGTGATTAAATTAATATAATCAAATATGATTATATGTATCTAATCATATATGATTTATGTGGACAATATTCATTTTTGTGTTCTCGACTCAATAGTTGTTCTCGTATATTTAATAATATGTTATTATATGTATCTAATCACATATGATTTATATAGACAATATCGATTCAATTTTGTCCATATAAATCACATATGATTAGATACTTATAATCACATGTGATTAAATACGTGAGAAAATTATTGAATCTAAAACTCGAAAGTAAATATTGTCCATATAAATCCTATGTAATTAGATACATTTAATCATATGTGATTATATACATGAGAACAATTATTGAATCAAGAACGCGAAAATATAATTTTTTTCTACATAAATCATATGTGATTAAATACATATAATCACATGTGATTAAATACATGAGACTAAATATTGAGTCGAAAACATGAAAATGAATATTGTCCACATAAATCACATGTGATTAAAAACATAAAAAAATTTGTTGAAGAGAAAATGTGAAAATGAATCTTGTCAATATAAATCATATGTGATTAGATACATTATACATATAATCACATGTGATTAAATATAAGAGAACAACTAACGAATCAGCAACGCGAAAATGCATGTTGTTCACATAAATCATATGTGATTAAAACATATAATCAGATGTGATTATATATGTCTAATCACATGTGATTTATGTGGATAATATACATTTTTGTTATTCTCGTGTATTTAATCATATGTGATAAAAGGTATCTAATCACATATGATTTATTTGGACAAAAATGAATCGTATCCATATAAATCATATGTATACATATAATCACATGTGGTGGTGGTGGGTGAGGGTGTTGGTGTTGGTTTCGGGTGGTGTTGATGGGTGGTGGTGGTCTTGGTAAGTGGTGGGTGGGGGTGGTTGTGGCGGGTGGTGTAAGTGGGTGGTAATGGGTGGTGGTAGTGGGTGGGTGGTGGTGATGGTGATGGGTGGTGGAGGCGGGTGGTGATGGTAGGTGGTGGTGATGGGTGGCAGTGATTGGTGGATAGTGGTGGTTGGTGGTGACGAGTTGTGGATTTTGTAGGTGGGGGTGGGGCTTGTAGTGGCGGGTGGTGATGATGGTGGTAGAGGTGGGGTGGTGGTGATGGATGGTAGTGATGGGTGGGTGGTTGTGAGTGGTGGTGATAGTGATGGGTGGTGGTTTTGGTGGGTGGTGGGTGGGTGTGGGTGGTGGTGGTGATGGGTGGTGGTTTTGTTCTCAAATGGTCTCGCGATAAAAATATGTTCTCGATTGAACGCTCCCATATATATATATATATATATATATATATATATATATATATATATATATATATCTATATATATATATAGGCTTAGGTTATTATATTTAAAGTAATTATTGTGTTATTGTATGCATAAATGTGGGCCAATCATTTTACTTGTTTTAAGAAAGTGATTAATACATATTATTGAATTAAATATACTTGAAAAATACCATCTAATTTAATTACAAGGGTATTTTAGTCAAGTAATATAGATTTAATAAAGGAAAATTGCATATTTTAAGGGATCATGGATTCTATAAATTTTAAAAATCCGATTTTACGAATTATAATTCTTTTAATTCGGACATTCTGACAGAATATGTTTATGAGTATTTTCAAAAATAAAAATATTCTTGAACCATAAATAATAAAAATATTCTTGAACATATTTCTTGATCATGACTTTAAAAATTTCTTGTAGAATAACAAATTCTCGAACCATCAATTGAAGAATTAAAACAAAAATTACATTAATTCTTATAGAATAAATGTAACAATTGCTAAGAATTACATTTATTGTTAAAGAATAAAACTAAAAAAACTTTCAAATCTGGAAAAAAAACATCAAAATCTAACAAAGACACTAATACATTCTAAAAGAATAATGTTGCTAAGAAGCGTCGTTCAAATTTCGTGGTCCGTTCTTCAAGCATCAGATTCTGTGGAAACAAATCCAATGAATAAATTAGTGAAAAAATATTCATATTCCATTCCAACATAATTGGAATTCGTGATTCCATTCTGATAGAATTGGAATGCATTTACCAATAGTTATATTAATTCGGGCATTCTAACAGAATATGTTCATGATTATCATAAAAAACATTCTTTTCTGATAGAATACTATAAACGAAGAAATACCATTCAGTTGAAGCATTTTAGCGAGCGCTTGGTGTGTATCAAAACAACTTTCAATTTCCTGTAAAAATTAGACAATCAGAACAAATTCCCAATTCACCAAAAATATTACACCTTGAAAGAATTAGACAATAAACCTAAACACATCCAAAATTGCAGTTAACCCTTTCACTTTCTTGATAATAGTCTATGCTTTTACTAAGGCATTTAATCGAACACCTGGTGGGTGTTCTGTCGTCGCTTAGCTGCCTTGCTTTTACTTTGATCTTTAGGCTTGAAAACTTGACTCTGGACTCAAAGTGGAGACATAAATAATGCCCGAAACAGTTGAACACCTGTACACATACCATCAAAACACCAACATTCATTGAAATAATTAACTCAAGTAAACAACAGACTAGATTAGAATAGTACTCACGGTTAACATCCAGGTTGCATTTTCAACTTCACGAGGATTGGAATGGGCATACCGGTGGTTGAAAGTGCATCTAGAGTGACCCTTTCACTTTCTTGATAATAGTCTATGCTTTCACTAAGGAATTTAATCGAACACCTGGTGGGATATCAGATTTGCATTCTAATCTTGGTTTAATGTTATCACAAAGTATCAAGTTTGTATACCATCAATAAAGAAAGTAAATTACAAAACGGCCCTTGTGGTATAAAGTATGTTTCTTGGATTTTTGTGAATTCTTACTTGCACATTAGAACTAATGATACATCTAACTTGGGATGTGCGTTTGGACCGAATACCCGAACCGAAACCGAAACCCGGACCGGACCGACCCGAATTAGGACCGAATAAGTTATTTGGGTCGGTTCTCGGGTATCTATTTTTGCCCAATTCGGGTTTCGGGTTTTTCGGTCCGGGTTACCCGAATAAAGGTTTAATCGGGCCAAAAAGACCGACCCGGAAAGTGAATAGTCACTTGAACCGAATAACCCGAATAAACCGAAATGACCCGAATAACCCAAATAAACCGAAATGGCCCGAATAACCCAAATAAGGAAATTCTATTTTTAGTTCAAGAAAAAAAAACATTAATTTAATATTTTTTTCTTGAACTAAATATAGAATTTTCTTATTTGGGTTATTCGGGTTATTTAGGTTTATTTAGGTTATTCGGGTCATTTCGGTTTATTCGGGTTATTCAGTTCAAAACATAGTGTAAATGTTTGTTTGGGTTATTTCAGTCCTTTCGGGTTAATAACCGAACCGAAACACGTATTACCCGAACCGAACCGACCCATATTAGTATAATCGGTCCGGGTTTCGGTTCCCACTTTTCGTCCAATTCGGGTTTCGGGTTATTCGGGTTCGGGTCGGTTCCGGCCCGAAGCACATCCCTACATCTAACAAAGTTGCATCAACTGTTGTACTTTTTATAAAGCAATGAAGTACAATAAAAAAACAAAGTTTTAGAAATGTTCATATTAACATAACCACTATAAAGAAAAGTAATTTTGAATTAATGGACATTACCTAATCAATAACGTGCATTGGATCCATTTTTTTGAGGAGATAACCGGTTCATTGACCATTCTTCCAAGGCTTTCCGGTGAAGAGCACTCATTCGAATATAAGGTTGTTTTTCTTTGATTAATTTCTCACCATTTTTCCAGTCATCAACGACACCCAAACCCACCAATAAAGCACACATCAACGCCACACTTCTTCCATGGCCTGAGTTAAAATCATATCAGAATTAAGATTGATGGTTTTAGTGTAATGATATCGTTAATCAAGAGGTATAGTATTACTGTATTAGTAAGGATGAAATGAATTTGAATTACCATAAGCACAATGAATGAAGATAGGAGTATTCTGAGTTCTCTTTCTCAAAGCCCATCGAATAGACGATTCCATGGCACCTGGATCCGGAGACCTTGTATCTCACGTCGGAACACAAAGATAACCATTTTTAGATAAACCAGAAACCCTAGGTAACTCACAGGTGCAATCTATTACAGCAGGGTTACCCGACGGCATTTTTTCCGGCGAAGAAGGCCACCCACCGATGTACAAACCCTTAGACACCTCGCTGTAAGGAGCTTTCCTGCTTTTTAACCTCCGAAGTGCTGAAAACCCTCGGACAAAATACAAGTAAGGGCTAAAATGAGTAGAGACCAAATTGGGAAGGATCCGTCTGTGTTTTTTTCCTAAGAGCATTGGTAAATTGATTAAAGGGTGTGAAGCGAGGGAGACGAGCAATGGTGTTGGGATCGAATAGGTGGTGGTTTTAAAAAGCCGACGATAATCGAGAAAACCTAGGCAGCTGAAGTCAATGGTTACCATAATTATAGGATATTATTTCTGGAAACTAATTATCAAATTACCTATTTACCCTTATTTATTTGTTTAATTATTTATTTTTATTTTAAATTTTGATTGGCCCATATTTATGCATACAATAACATAATAATTAGTTTAAACACCTGAACCTAGCTCTATATATATATATATATATATATATATATATATATATATATTACTATGTGTTCCCTTCTTTTATTGATTATAATTTATGATTCGGGGTGTCCGTTATTAAACTAAGGACATGTTTTTGTGAATAAGTTTAAATAACATGGGTTTTTCTTTAACTTTCATTATGGGTTTTATACCCTTTGAGTTTTGATTGTGGATTTATATACCTGTGACTTTGATTATGTTATATCTTGACTTCGATTCATGTGGGTCCATATACCATTTTATTGACTATAACTTGACTTTGGTTTTTGTTTGAATCTTGACTATTTGATGGTGTTATTGAGTCTCATATTGTAATTGTATGCAATGTCGATTACACTGTTAGGTCATTCCCAACCCTACACTAAAAAACCATTTTTACACTATAAATTAGATTATGATGCTCCAACCCTACACTATACCTAACATTATATATATATAACTATACCTAACATTATATATAGTGTTAGTGTTACACTATATATAGTGTTGGATTTTAGTGCAACACTAAATATAGTGTTGAACAAAGAACAATATACCTAGAATACTCTTTTTAGTGTTAAATATAGTATAATAGGTTGAAGGACTTTAGTGTTTACACTATCTTTTACACTATAATTATAGGTATAGTGTAAAAAAAATAGTGTTAAGGGTTATAGATGGTCTTAGAAACATCAAGTTTAGTAAGTCCACTAAACGGGGTTCTCCTTCCCATGACTCCAAGTAACCATCAACTTTCCCTAGGGCCAAACACAATGATTTGCCATCAATTAAGAGTGTCCTGGTGATGTAATATGTTTATAGTGGCTTGCCATCATTTCAATTGAAAAGGCAATGCCACATCCTTAGGAGAAAATAACCTTTTTTGGAACCTGTGAGTTTGGTATTGTTTATGTTGGATCCAAGGTAAAAATATATGGATTGATGTGAAACTTCACTAGTGGTATGATGTTATTGTCAACTAAAAAATATCCTTCGTTTACTGGATTGATGTTATGCAAAAATATCATTTATGTATATGATGTTATTGTCAATAAAAAATCCATATGAACAATGATGGACAACCCACATTTATCTCCCATATTGAAAATATCATCCATGAGGAGGTCTAAATTCCACTTTCATGTATGTTTATTTTCAACACGATTTAATGTCGATATTTAATATCAAACTAGGGTTTGGACCGTCCGCGCGTTGCTGCAAAAGCTCCGGTATTTTAAAAAACGCAGTTCGACACTATATATATCATAGAGACGATTAAATCATATAAAGTGGAGCACAAAAATATCAAAATAAAATATGGATACAAACAATTGACTTGAAAGTGTATCTTTAAGAAATTAATAAAAAAAGAATTATTAAAAAATTATATAAGGGGCCAAAATATAACTTTAAAATATAATAAGGGACCAAATTGTAATGTATAAAATACTAATAATTTAACTTTAAATTTATAAGGGGTTGAAAATTGTTAAAAAAGATAAAATTAAAAGGGAAAAAATATAAATATATATAAAATTTAAATTATAAGAATAGAAATTGTTTACCACACCATCAAAATTAGTTAGGGATCACATATAAAACCCAATAAAAGTAAAGGAAGGAAAATGAAAAAAGAATTGAAAATAGGAAGACTTATTTTATTTTTGTTTACGATGTGAATAGTAAACCTCCTCACAAACCAATTTTGGTAATTAATATATATATATATATATATATATATATATATATATATATAATCTAATATAATTAGTAAAAATATAAATATAGTAAGGAACGTAGTAGTCACTTATTAAATACCTAATAGTTTTATTTTATAATTACCAGGCTGACAAGTGTTCCTCAATTACTTACTTCAGGGAAGAAAGGTAAATATAAAGATTGCTAGTTAGAACCAAAATCTTATTTCCAAAAGAAGACTTATTTTAGAACTTGTACCGTATTATTTCTATATAATAACTTAATCTGAATATAGTTATTTGTGCTTTGGAAATAGTCCAAACCAAATGAATAGTGATACCCTCACAAACCAATTTTGGTAATTAATATATATATATATATATATCTAATAGATATATATATAATTTATTTAAATTGTTCAAAAAAAAAAACACATGATGACCTTCTATAGCAGGTTTAACATGTCAAACTGGGATATGGGATATGTTTGTTCAAAAATCACCCATAAACTTTGTATGTTTATAAAAATGAAAATTATAAAAAATAATAAAAATAAAAACATATACATGTGTCAATCATGACTCGGCCAATGTCAATTTTGGAACTATATTCATGGCCTGGATTTCCTGCAATCAGGAAACAAAAAAAGAAATTTGTCAAAGGAATTGGAATCTGCCATGCGTTTAGTTGGCAGGAAATGGAGTTGAACTCCATGATAAAAACTAAATCTTTATTTATAAATCAATTTCCTTTTTCTTTTTTGACTTATTTGATTACATATGTAAATGGGAGCAAAAATCAAAAAGAATGAATGGAGTTGAATTTCTTCCATCCACGAACAGTGAAGAATTAATGAACTTTTTTATTTTACAAAAATAAAAATCAAACATAATGAAAACTCATTAATACCCAAAAAAAAATTATTAAAGAAAGAAATATTTACCTGGAATAAAAGCTTGCAAGCATATGGTAGTTTCATGGATGAGAGATTATCTCCATTTTTGCATGTGGAGCAAACTTTAGTTTTTGTCTTATGATTTTCGTACCCTAGTAACCCACACTTTCTACAAACCTACCAGATTAAAAAAACAAAAAAAAAAAAAAAAAAAGTAAAAATATATAACTTTGGTTAGTTTTAGTAAATAACTCTGTAATTTAAATAGAATTGAGAGATTATTGAAAACAATAATTGTGTTATTAGATGTTGCATATAAAAAAGTGGGTTATATTGCAGTTGTTCATTAGTCTGCAGTATTTAATATTATTGATGAATTTTAATTTACAAAAATAATAGATTAACCAGAACAAAAGCTCATCAGAGCCTAAATATAGTATAGATGTTTTTTTGCAAATTTGGTCCCAACAAGTTTTCTCTTGCTTATTTAAAGTCCTTGTAACGTTTTAGATCCCTGTTCCAAGAAAATGACTATATTTTGGGGACCAAAATTGCAAAAGTCATCCATAGTTAGGGGCCAAAAATAGCCATTTTACTTAGAACAAGGACCAAAACTGAAAAAATCACTCTTAAGCAAAAGATGAGTTGAAAAAATGTGACATACCTGAACCTCAAAGGGGTCACTAGAGATCATTAAGCGTTCATATATCAGATTACTAGCTCCATAAGCAATCAAACAATCTCGTTCCATTTCTCCCACTCTCAAACCTAAATAATTATCAAAATTATCATATTTAAAATTACTATTAAAAACTTTATGTAAAATGTATTTTAAGCAAAAAAAACTCACCTCCATTTTTGCTTCTCCCTTCTGTGGGTTGTCTAGTTATGAGTTGACGTGGGCCCATGCCTCGAGCATGCATCTTATCCATGACCTGATTTATGTACCATCATAAATACATGTTTAATATCTTTTAAAAAATTGATAATTAAAGGATTTAATTCTTTCTTACCATGTGCTTTAGCTTCTGGTAGTATATTGGTCCCATGAAAATATATGCTTGTAGTGGCATACCAGTGATTCCTGAATTATAATCACAAAATTAAAATGTATTCACAGTTAAGAGAATATTTGAATAGATTTCTAGGATTTTAAATTGAAGAAAATCACCATGATACACCAACTTCATGGGTATTTATGTAATTTATAAAATCTTTATTACTTTCTAAATTTAAAATTCAACAGAGACTTGTATTAATCGGGTTCTAAGATAATCTTGATTTATCATCAATATAGGGTGCAATAAAAGATAAGTACCTGAATATAGAAAGTCCTTCCCATTGTAACAAAATCCATGCTTCACAAGGGTTTCACTGTTAAAAATTGAAATGTCATTTAATTTTATTTTAGTTTTTAATTATCAACCACCTACTCAAAGAAAGAAAGAAAGAAAGAAAGAGTTGCACCTTATATCTTCCACTTTGTGTGCATGTCCACTTGGTTCACCAAATGCACTTCCATAATGAAACTTCCCACATGAAACTCCAGCCTTACTTCCAAGAAGCTCTATCATCTTTCCAACAGTCATTCGACTACAAAAATGGCAAAAAGTGAGAAAACAAAAATAAAAAAAGGTTCTAAAATCTAAATACATGAATGAACAAACACATGGGAAAATCACAAAAGCTAGTGAAGGGGTGATTTGTAAAAAGTTGGGACTAAATGCTTGACTTTCTATATTAAGTCGTTTTTTCTGCATTAAGTCAAGAAGATACACACATGTATAGTTATACCAAATTAAGTCGTATCCCCATTTTGAAGAAAGTGGAATTTTGTTGCATATTTAGAATTAAATTTAGTAATTTAAGAAAAAATAATGTTTTGGTACCTTGGAAACCCATGAGGGTTCATAATCAAATCTGGGCATATGCCTCGTTCAGAGAAAGGAAAATCTTCTTGTTGGATAATGGTCCCACAAACACCTTTCTGTCCATGCCTACTACTAAACTTGTCACCAACCTAAATCAAATAAGCATATCAGTAATACATTTAAAGAGAAACAAAAGAAATGGAATTTTATCACAAGAAAAAAAAAACAGTGAAACTTATATAGTTATATGTTTGTAA